GCTGTACCGTGCCCCAGAGGTGGCTGCATCTTGGCAGTGAAAAGCCCAAGCTCTGGGCGATTCCCCCCGGCCAGGGCCAGCAGCACCACCGGGGAGCCCAGCCCCTCACCAGAATGGTTCTGTCGCCGTCCACGAAGTCGCCCAGTGCCTGCACCACCTGCTCGGGCAGCCGCGTCTTCTTGAAGTTGGTGCTGCAGGTGCCGTCAGCTTTCTGGGAACACAGAGACCCATCAGGCCGGGGCATGGGGGGGCTGGGCGGGACGCCCCCGCCCCGGCGAGACCCCCCCCCCCCAGAGCCAGCCCTGCCCCAGCCAGACGTGATCCCCCCTCCCCAGAGCCAGACGCCCCTGCTCCAGCCAGACGTGATCCCCCCTCTCTAGAGCCAGCCCTGCTCCAGCCAGACGTGATTCCCCCTCCCCAGAGCCAGACGCCCCTGCTCCAACCAGACGTGATCCCCCCTCCCCAGAGCCAGCCCTACTCCAGCCAGAGGTGATCCCCCCTCCCCAGGGCCAGACGCCCCTGCTCCAACCAGACGTGATCCCCCCTCCCCAGGGCCAGACGCCCCTGCTCCAGCCAGGCCTGCTCCGCCCAAGCCCGTGTCCCCCACCTTGATGCCCTCGATGCGGAAGCCCAGCGTGGCGGTGGAGCTGAGCGACTCCCTCCACTGCATGTAGCGGGGCTTGAGCACGGCGCGCTGGGCGTGCTCCTCGGGCGTGGGCGCCCCCGGCTCCACCGCCACCATCTTCTCGTACATGTCACAGCGCAGCCGGGGCCGCTGCCGAGCCTGCTCCAGCTCCTCCTCCAGGTACGTCCTGCGGGGGGCAGAGCGGGGATCAGCCGGGGGCGCTCACCCCACGGCCCATGCCTCAGCCAGCCCTGGGCTCTGGCACTCCCAGCGCAGGGCTCCTGGCTTCTACCCCGGCTGTGGGGGCTAGTGGTTAGAGGAGGGGGCTGGGATCCAGGACTCCTGGATTCTCTCCCCAGCTCTGGGAGGGGAGTGGGGCTGGTGGGTCAGAGCAGAGGGGGCTGGGAGCCAGGACTCCTGGGTTCTCTCCCCGGCTCTGGGAGGAGAGTGGGGGCTAGTGGTTAGAGCAGGGGGGCTGGGAGCCAGGACTCCTGGGTTCTCTCGCTGAGGCAGCTTGCCTGTGCCCCGCAGCCGGGCTCTCACCTGACCCCCATCTTGCAGTCCATGATGGAGGGTGTCTCGAAGCTGGCCAGTAGATCCTCCATCTGGTTGTAGCGCTCGCCGTCCCGCTGCGCCAGCCCGAAGTAGGTGGGCACGTGGGGGCGCAGCGAGTCCCGCATGAGGCGCTCCAGGCACTGCTGCTCCCGCGGGCAGAACTTCTTCAGGATCCGCCCGTAGTCCCCGGCTTTGAAATTCCCTGAGGGGCAGGGAGGGGATGGCTGGGGTCAGGGGAGTGCGGACACACCCCGGCCCATGCCCGCTGGGCACACGGCGCTGCCTTCGCCAGCCACCATCGGGGCTGGCTGCACCCCCCAGCAGAGCTCCCCTCCCCGCACGGGCTCACCGTGCCCCCCGTTCCCGCGGCCCCTCTCACCCGCATGGCCAGCCAGCTGCACCCAGGGGTAGCGCTTCTTGAAGGACACGACGAAAGGCGACCAGTGGACCATGCTCTTGAGTTTCTTCCACGGCTTGTTCTACAGAGAAAGGCAGGGAGGGAGTCAGTGCCCGGGACCCCCCTCCGTACTGTAGGAGGGTCCCAGCTGAGATCACCCCCCCAGTCCCAGTGTGCCAGGTGCTGCACAGACCCCGAGTGAGAGCCCTTCCCTGCTCCACACAGCTCACAGGAAGGAATGTTCTCCCCATGTTATAGGTGGGGAAACTGAGGCCCAGAATATCTGCAGGCAGAGCTGGGAAAAGAACAAAAAGGGAGGGACTCCTCCCCCAACCCCTGCTCTAACCACTAGACCCTGCTCCTCTCCCAGAGTTGGAGATAGAACCCAGGAGTCCTGGCTCCCAGCCCCCCCTGCTCTAACCACTAACCCCCACTCCCCTCTCAGAGCTGGGGAGAGAACCCAGGAGTCCTGGCTCCCAGCCCCCTGCTCTAACCACCAGACCCCAACTCCCCTCCCAGAGCTGGGGATAGAACCCAGGACTCCTGGCTCCCAGCCCCCCTGACCCCATGTATGCGGCTAGTTC